CGCTCCTCCCCGCCCCGCCCCGCCTATCACGCCAGTCCGCCCCGCCTGTCCTGTAGGATGTCCTTATCGTGCTGCGGTGCCTCGCGCCGTGCCGTTGGCTGTGCTCTCTGCCCGTCCTCCACAACCACCTCGTCGGCTTGTGTACAACAGGCCGCCGCCACAGCAGCCTCTATATCGCTCGTTGTTCGGGGCCAGCTCACGGCAGACCAGGCCAGCAGGCCCCGTTGGTCCCAAAGGGTTAAAACTTAAAACTGTAATCTCCGCCCGAGACTCGCTTATTTGCGGCTTCCTCCTCCTCCGCTGCTGCCTCCGTGTTATTCCGGCGGAAAGGCGCGCCCCGGACTAATAATAATAATAAAAATGTTTGGCGAATTGTTTGGACAGCGCGCTGTCCGCTGCAGTTAGGTCTCCGCCGCGCCGCCGACCGCCGGGCCCCTTCCTCTCCTCCATGGCGGGGCCGGGCGGGGCGGGTCAAGGCGGGGTCCGCCCCGCCCAACCTCTCCCTCCCCTTAAAGCCCGTGCTTTTTGCCCCCCTGCTGCTTGCAGGGAAGGGCGCATTGGCCATCCATCCGCCGCCCTGCTCGGGGCCTGCTTGCTTGTTCTCTCCATCCTCTGCTGGACTCGACTCCACTCTGGTGCCGCCGCGGCAGCAGAGTAGTAGTATCATCTCTCTCTCTCGCTCTTCCGTGGCGTTGGCAATAAGGGTTGTGGTGGTGGTGGTCGTCGTCGTCCTCGGCCGTTGTTTCCTCCTTCTTCCGCAGCGCGGCGCGGGTCAGCCCCGCCCCACCGGGGCGTGGCGTGGCGTGGCGTGGGCGGCACGGTGCGCGCGCGTGAATGGAAGTGCAATTAAGAGCCGGCCTGCCGATAGCTCCGCACAGGCACAAAGGCTGTGATTAATGGAATATTCAGCCCACGGCGAGGGGGGCGGGGGGAGAGGGCAGAGGAGGAGGAGGAGGATGATGGTAGCGGAGGAGGAAGGGGAGGGAGAGGAAATAAGTAAATGTCCGTACGCCCTTGCTTTCTGAAAATGGTTACACTTTTAATATGGTACTACCAATGAGATTGGCACTAGTAGTCGAAATCTGAGACTTTTGTTTTCGTCTCGTGTTG